CACATAATTGATGGAAGTATGTGGTGAAAGTTAGTCTTAAATGTTAAATTATTTCAACTTGTTGCAGTAGCCACTTATAATTCTTTAAGGTGTCCATTTATATAAAGTGATTCATGTGGATAGCCTACTATATAGTTGTTTGTGGGGAAAAACAGAGAGGGCACGAGAGGGATGAGAAACCGTTTGCTGCTAGCTTACTACCTCTCTAGCGTTTCGCCGTAGTGTCGCCAACTCTGGCCAGCCTTCTTCCATCATAAAAAGCAGTCATTAGAGCTCTACAAAGTCGCCAAAATCTGTTTCAACTCTTCTCACAAAATTTCAAAACATCCATTGTAAACCAGCCTTGAAGCTCCAGCGTTTCAGCCATTAACCACTCCAAAAGTGTAGCAAAAAGCAGGCCAAAAAAGCAGCTGGAAATAGCCGCAAACCAGCTGAATAACAGTCCCCGATCAGCTCTAAAAAGACCCCAAAAACACCTCGTTTCTGCTCCCAAAGCTACTACCAAAACNACTACCAAAATGCAACATCCCTTACCCATTAAAACATGCAAGTTTCGGTCAAGCTAGCGAGGTCGATGTTGAGGTTCTCCAATTATGTTTTGAGTTTCAAGTTGATAAATCAAAGCTCAAATTCATGTAAAGGTTCATTTTTATCTTAGTCTTGATTGATATATAAATTGTAGAGTTTTATAATGCCTATTTGAATGGAATAACAATGTTAGTGAGTATCTCTATGTATGTCATAAACTCAAGTTTGGTCTGATTCCTTGCGTTGTTATTTCTCGTTCATATTTCATACTCTATGATGCTAGAGATTTGGTAGATATTGAACTTGATCTTAGTAGCTAAGTCTTGTGGACCATTTCATTTCAGTAGCGGGTTGTGGTTGTGATGCACTGAAGAAGTATTGTGGGTAGGAAACATGGCTGCGGTATATCCAAGGTCCATTGCATAAAAAGAATAAAGAGTGGAGATAACAATTGTGAGGGGAGCCGTAGTAGATAAAACAATTAATTTATGGCCTTCAATAATTCGATTGATTTTTAGACAAATAGATTTGAGGCCGTGCCAAATAAAATCTTAAAATGCATGGCCCTCGCTTAATTAACATTTGAATCCTTAGAATTCGAGGCGTGCCATTTAGTTGAATTTCCATGGCCCTCGCAAGTTTAAAAATGCGTAGTTACTTTAGGCGCACTATTTTAAAAATCACCTTCTTAAACTCGGGTGTGCATTTATGTAACCCAAATCCAAATCTCAACAAAGTTAAATAAAATATGTCTGGGACCGCGGGTGCATTTATGTGACGTGGTTCAAGACGTGTTTTAGATAACGTTGAAACCTTCCTAAAAAATAATTAAATAAAAGCGGTTATAAAGTTAAAATTGCACCATAGGCTAAAAACATGTACTAAAATCAAGTAAATAGGCCAATTATAATAGTTGTGCGACCGTGCTAGAACTACGAAACTCGGGAATGCCTAATACCTTCTCCCGGGTTAACAGAATTCCTTACCCGGATTTCTGTGTTCGCGGACTGTAATACAGAGTCAATCTTTTCCTCGATTCGGGATTTGAACCGGTGACTTGGGACACCATAAAATTATCCCAAATGACGACTCTGAATTTAATAAATAAATAATCCCGTTTCGATTGTCAGTTTAAGTTGGAAATAATTCCATATATACCCTTCCGGGGTATAGGAAAAAGGAGGTGTGACAGTAATTTTCCCTAAAAAAAAAATAAACACACTTAATGATTAAGATCTGAATAATTAAAATTTAAAATTTTAAAAACAAAATATACTTAATATCAGGTCTGTATAAGATTTAGACCTCTGTTAAGTGTAAACAAATGAGGCTTTATACTTCTTTTGTCGACCAAAATATTACTCCCAACTTAGTTGCTCTTTAGCTGAAAAGCTCTCCAAATTTGACCAAGTCATTTACCTTATTATCCCTTACATATTTTTGTAAATTCTAAAGTACCCTTCCCCCGTATGCCCTAACCCCACGTTATTTCTTTCCTTTCTGCAATTTCTCGTTCCTGCTTATTCTCCGCCGTAGTAGGAGGGTGTTTTGATTGGCTTATAAAAGTTAGTTTTTAAGCTAAAAGCCAAAAGCCATAAGTTGGTAATACCCAATTTTTGGCTTTTAGCTTATTTTGTACTTTTTATGCCTAAAAGTAAGTGCTTTTAAGCACTTTTTATCATTGCCAAACACCACAGAAACTAAAAGTGCTTAAAAGTCAATAAGCATTTAAAATAAGCCAATCCAAACACCTTTTCTTCTCAATATAATTGCAATAAACATTTTTGTTAATCAAATTTGGTGTTTTCTTCATGTGACTTCCTTATTCATCTATTTGCACCGAAATTAGCCTATTATGTTTTATAACGTACTAAAAGATTATTATACTAGTAATACTTATGAATCTCCAGAAATTGCAAATGATAAAGAGTTTGAAATAGGAAGTTGTCAAGTATACAGAAAGAATTTAATGTAAAGATCTGGTCAAAGGGAAAAAAATCACTGTTATTTTTTAAATTCAGCTTCACCACTTCAAAAGCGCTTTTAAACTCAAGTGCTTAAAAGCTACTTTTATTCAACTAATTCAAAGGGTTTAGACTATATATTTTAGATTCAGTGTGGAGAAGGGTAAAGGGGTAGGCCAATCCTCCATTGTGTTTCGAACCGTGCGCTATTGGCCTCGGAAATTTCTCAAGTTATAAAAAAAAAGCTTTGTGACAATGGTTATGACTTTTGCAGGTTCTTCAAGATGGTTGAAACATTGTTCGAAGATATGTTTACAGTCACTCAAAAAGATCCGGACGGTAAAAAGTTCGATAGAGGTATGCCAATTTATCATTCTTCCCCGCTGTAATTGATCAATTTGTTTATGCTCTCTGTTAGTTCTTGTCAATTTTTTCTTTTCAATTGTTAATTAAATGAACTTTACACTATGTGAAAAAACGTTGTGAATGACGCCCAATATTAGGTCTTAGGTTGACAAAAATGGTATTTGTGCTGAAGTGAGTGGAGAACCATGAGGTCTTAGGTTGACAAAAAATATTAGGTAATTTCCTCTTATCTGGCTAAGCCTTACTGAGCAGAGTTATTCGGTATTTGTGCTGGTGGAGATAGCATGTACCCAGTAAAATAGTCGACGTATACGCAAGCTAGCCCTGACACCACCATCATTTAAAATAGATGTGAAAGATTGATGCATCACCCCAGTTGATGTCCTAACTTTGCATTCCATAATAATATACTTGTCCGACCATATCAATTTTTATCTCAAGGGGAAGTGATAATATGGTCATGGTACACCACTTGAAGAATAAGTTGAAGGAATCAAAGAAATTAACTAAGATAGTTTGTTCACAGTAGACCAGGAATTATTAGGATATGACCTTCTCGTATCCCTGATAACTTGAGCTTGTCTTGGCTCTCTTCTTTGACAAATGAGACTTTGCTTAGATGGTTGGCACCTTTAGCTTTCAATCGAGAAACAGGGGAACTTGTGAAGCGGGCTTATTGCCCCATGTCTTACCTATAAGAAAAAGACAGGTGTTGTTGCTTTATCATTGCATCTATAGTGCGAGCTATCTTAACACTTTGAAATAAGTCTCCCTTTGTTATGTAATTTGGCCCACCCCGGATTCTAACGATGACTGTAATTAGGAGAAAGAAAAAGGTTAAAGGAAAAACTCCTTGTTACGTGGACATTCAAAAAAAGAAAAGAAAAGGGGAAAGAGTATTCATGTAGTTTACTGGAAATGCCTCTGATGAATTTTGATAAGTTTTGTGCTTTTGTACTGGCTTTCTTAATCTATCCATGTTTGCTGGACTTCGTTGTCTTTCTTTTTTCTTGGTTTTTTTTCCTGGGCAAACAACATCATCCGTCATACAGTAAGAGCGCTACCTCTGAGACAAAGATATGGTCTTGTGGTCTTATATGACCTTCTTTCCGATAGTCTCCAGTATAAATGATCCAATCTTTCGTTCTATACTTACACCTTCTAGTGTCTTTCGCATGAGTGATAATGGGCATAGGAAGGGCATGGGGTTGTGTGGTGGACACTGGTGGTTCAGCAGACTGGGTACAGGCCAAATTACAACTGGGAGCAATCAGCATTGAACACTAGAGTACTGATAAGTGTATTGCTGATTACACATGTGATGGAGTAATGGAATATAGAGTTAGTGTAGTTTCTTGACAAACTGTGAATTTTGGCATATGATGGACTAAATTTGGTTTATTATTGCCACCATGAATTATTAAGCTGCAGACATGTTTTCTGCAAATGATGTGATCTAAGAATATCTTGTGCATTTTGTAGTTAATCGCATTGAAGCACGAAGTGAGCAGTTTGATATGTACATGCTGTTGGATGTGAACACTGAGATATATCCTATGCGTGTGAAAGAGAAATTTATGATGGTTTTAGCATCTACTTTGAACTTGGACGGGACACCAGATACTGATTATTTCATTCAGGTAATATGCTGTAATGATTTATGTCTATCCTTGTGGATTTGCAAGTGTTAGCTTGACTGATATAATTCTGATTCTGTGATTTATATTAACAATCATAAAGATGGTACTTGAAGTCTCCAGGATATGTGTTTAAGTTACCATGGCGAATTATTTTCATTAAGTAAGAAACATCAAGGCAAGGAGCTTATGGTCACAGGTTCAAGCCGTGAAACAGCTTCTTGCATGAATGCAGGGTAAGGCTGCGTACAATAGACCCTTTTGGTAGCTTAGTGCACCGGGCTGCCTTTTTAAAAGAAAAATAAGAAACATCAAGTGCCTTTTGATACAAATATATGTATTTTCATTAGAAAACTAACTTGCTATATAGAGGCTTTTGGAATGTACTGTTCTTGAAGAAGTGAGCCCCTTAAAATATTTTGGTTTTGTAACCTTGTCTATCTGGAAGTGTTTATGAAATCCATCAATTAGATAGCTCATCTAGTAACTAGATCTAGAAACTAGTGAATATATCAGCTTATTTTTGGTGTCTGTTTTGATGTGTCATAAGACACATTTTTGCTCCACAGAGGTGTGGTTCCTTCTGATACAGTTTGTGATGGCTGTTCAATTGCGTTCTAAGATAATTGGCAGGACAAACAAATGGTATCTGCCAGTGAAAGGTGTAATCATTTGGTATTGCCATAACTAGATTTATCGCCATTCGGCACTGAAGGATCCATCTATAATGCTATTTGGATGATAACGAAATGTTGTTTGGTTCCTTTTCTGTTAGATTTCATTAGCATTTGAGAAAGAAAAAGAAGGGAAAAATCAAGGAAAGCAAGAATAGATAAGAATGTGAATAAACGACTATGACATATGCATCAAGAATTTCTGTCATATGTAGGATTAATGATAGATGGTACAATGCTTTAAATTCTGAGCATCTAGAGAAGAAATTTTGCTTTGCATTTCTTATAAGTAAGATGTCCTCTGATTTTATGATTTCTGCTATTTGTACATTTGTTATGCTTCAATATGTCATTATCCTCGCTGGAGCATTTGTTATATCAAGCAGATGTACACTTATATACATGGCTCCAGTCCTGTTACTTTCCACGAACACACTGTTCTACAGATAACTGTAATTATTTCCTTCTAAGTAGGTATACCTTGCTATGATTTTTGTTTCGCCTATGGGCTAATGAGAGAGGAGACCTTACAATTGCTATTCTCTTCATTTCCCTTTTCTTCCCATCTTCTGTAGAAATAGTTTTGGTTTTTATGTTAGATTGTTGATTTATTACGTATATTATTAATCTGTTTTGGCAACTCGCCTGAGACTAAATTAGGTCCCTTTTTCATTTTTTTTCTCCAGCAATAACAACTATGCCTCAGCCCCAAACAAGTTAGGTCGGCTATATGATTCCTCATTGGCCATGTTTATCCTTTTTCCATTTCTTACTCCTCTCGTTTTTTGAGAAATACGAACACTGATAAAAGATGACTTTGGGATTTATTTTGGTCTTTTTCACTTTTTTTCCATTTCTCCTTTTTTACATGAGCATTGATAAAAGATGACTTTTTGGGTTTTTATTTCGTCTTTTTCAAAGTTTCTTTGCCTTAAATGATAGCTTTACTGGGGTTAACATGATTCGAGCTTGGAAAACACAATTGGGGCATATGCTAAAAGAAACAGGTAGCATGAACTGGAAATGTCAATTCGGCTCAGTCTTGATTTAAAACAGAGGAAACCAAGTTTATGTGGTTCTCCTTTTAGTTTCCAGATCTTGCATTTTGGAGAGACCAAAAACCTGTATGCACATACACATATTGGTTCCAAAATCTTTGACAGATTTGAGTACTTTCTAGTTTCTACTGAGTCCGAATTTCTAATTTTCCTCAATGTTCCTTGGTGTTCTCAAACTCCCTTCTGGTTTCCAACCTTATTCTTGCTATCTTGCCTCCCCTAGGGCTTGAAAAAGCTAACACCAAGCATTAGAACTGGCCTGTTATGGCACATCATGACAAATGGGGCTTTCATATTTACTTTGCTAGAAGTAGAGGGACATGCTAATCAGAGTGACTTATATTCCCTTACAAGGCTTCTGTTCCTTTTGTATGAATCAATTCTGAAAACTGCAGGAACGTCATGGCCGCCCCAATGGTTATGAGAACTAAACTTCTGTCCGTACTTTGATATCTTTAAGACTTAAACCATTGAAGCAAAATTTTCCCAAATAACCTTGTTTTTCTTTCTCCTTTCTATATTTTGATTTTTTTAAATGAATCTTTCGCATTTAGCTTCTATTGAATATTTTTGGTTCACGAGATTTTTGCTTTACTGTTTTCTCAAAGGTACTATGCAATCTCAATTTTTGTCAAATCCAGTTAAGTGGGAACCAAAATAAATTCGGTAACCTAGAATTATCTTAACATCTTTCAGTTGGTGTTTGCTTATGGATCTCCTTAAACTGACTTTATGGGTTGTTGAACCAAAGTAGTAAATAGTACTTGCTGAAGTCTTCAGTTTTGAAACTAGTCACCAAAACTAAACCAGAAAATCTGTCTTGCGGTCATTTAACTTCCTAAACTCGTAACATATAAGTATCCCTTAAAAACTTAAGACAACTATGATCTCATTCATAAGGAAACACATCAAGATCTTTCAAGTCTCCTTTGTGTCAAAAAGGTCATTTTTTGGAGTCTTTTTGCAATGATTGTAAAGTGTGGTATTTATTATCTTTAAGTTCGCTTTGGCATGTTTCCTCATCGTCAAATAGCTATGGAGCTCCCTTTCAAGGCCCATTCTCTTATTCCCCGCCTTACATTCTCCGCCATTGTACAAATTCTACTAACCCTAAAGAATTTGTAATATGGGTTTTCAATCAACACGCCATTTCCAAAAAGATCTATTGCTTGACTTATGTGATTCTATCTTTTATTGCTATATATTTTTATGGACTCGACTATGGATTCGTATCTGCTGTGCGTGTATAAGCATTCGGTACAAGTACATACATTTTTTGTAGCTAATCTTTCAGTGTTTCTTGAAAGATCCATGCAATATCCACAACCATACCTCATCTAGTCTGCAATTATGATCCCAGTGTTTTAAAAGGCTTTACATATGCCTCAGCGAGGCATAAGCCCCGAGGCACGGGGCGTAAGCCCCATAGGTATTTAACTTTTAACATTTTATAAGGTTTTCTACATGGAGGAACAAAAAGGATAATTAACCTGCAATTTGAACTTTGAACTTGCTTCTATGAAGGAGAATGAAGTTCTATTTGTATTTGTAAACAAAAAAATTGAATATTCGTTGCTTTTGGGAGATATTAGCAGATTAGCGGATAAGATAAAGAATTTGGAAAGACCATGAATTAGGGCTTCAATCAATAAAAAAAGGTCTTGACTTTTAAGTTTAATACTTTTCATTTCCTTTTTAAAACTTTTGAGTAATTACCAAGCTGACTTTTGAGAATTTGGGGTATTATATGGACTTATTCAATAAATTTTGTTTAAATTTGAAAAAATCTCTGGGGCTTACGCCTCACTAAAAAAACGCGCCTCAAACGCCTGAGCGTACGTCCCGAACGCCCGGACATATGCCCCAAATTGCTGTGTGTACGCCTCTTGAGATTTTCGCCCCACACCATCGCCTCGGGGCATGTTTGATGCGCTTCGCCCCAGGGCTCGCTCCGGAGCTCGCCCCGAAAACGCCTTTTAAAACACTGTACGATCCTTGTACCTGCTACCATTAGAAAGAATGTTTCCTAATTGCTGTTATTCTGATCCTTGTGTACTTGAACATCCTCCTGTATGCATTTTATATTTGGTTGTCTATGTAAGAACCCCTTGTCTTTTTCAATGAGTAGACCATAATTTCCTTCAGTTTATGCATTAGGAGAATGTTGAATATACATCCTCTTATGTTTTCAATATATAGGCTTGTAAATAATTTCCTTCACCTGTGAAGCTTACACCTGGTTTACTCAAACAGTGTACTAAGGTTAAATATTTTTTCGTTCATTTTAATAATACACCTGGTCTTGAAATCCATATAAACTTGTTGAAAAATAGTACACAACATAAGCAAAAGATCCATATAGGTTATACCAGCTACTTGGAGTTAAGGTTAGTCATGATATAACCCTTAGGTCTAGTTTTAGTATACCAGTAGAAAATAGAGAGGGAGCCTCTCGTAGGGATTCATATAGGCGTACTTGTTGCTCTGAAATATGCTTATAAGGAAACATTTCTATGGAAGTCTATAATATGCCACATATTCTCCCATGGCTCCAACCCATGCAAACAAAATAACTGAAACTCTGAGTAAACTTCCATGCAACAGATGATGAGGCCAAACTTGAAACGTTAATTAAGACTTCTGTTTGATAACTAAATATCTTAAGAAGCTAGGCTTGACCACAATATCATAAGTAAGAGAGAATCTCGCTAATTGGAAGGAAAAGGAGGGGTTCGATCTATTCTGGTTCAGTTCTTTGGTATAGAAAGATCTCTGCCAATGCTTAGAGCTAACCTCTAATGTAATTGTCTAGCTAAATGCATATATGAACTTCTTTCTTTTTCTTCATTTTTCATTTGACCGTCTGATACTTGTTATGTCTGGTGGTCAAACTCCTAGAAATCCAGATAATACTTGATGGTATTGCAACGTGATGGCAGGGTAACAAGAAATCACTTGCTGACAAGTTTGAATATGTCATGCATGGGAAGCTATATAGGATCTCAGAGGAAGGTTCAGGAAAGCATGTTAAAGCGTATGTTTGGATAACTTTTCTCATATTCAATTCAATTCCATGAACCTGAATTCATTATTTCTGACATGTTCTTGCCTTATCATTTGTGCACACCTTAGCAATATCTGCTTTTTACTTCTTGTTTCCAAGAGTTGATATGGAATTGGCTCAGACTGACTTCTTAGATCTCCCATATGCGAAGATTAAATTCTAAGTGCCATTTCTATTTTATTTCTATGACTTGTTTCTCAGTACGAGTTTTTTCTATTGCATTTTATTGTGGAATATAATGGTACTTTCCTATACTCGGTTTTTCTCTGTTTTCTTTTTTGGGCTAGAGGTCTAAATTTAGTGTTTGAGATTTATCTATGTTCTGGTTGTTGGGACCAACTGATTTACTGTTTTGATAAGCAACATTTTATTAGTGTAACGATGGATTTACTGTTTTGATAAGCAACATTTTATTTGAGCTGGATCAGAAAATTTTCCTTCTCATGAGGAAGGTTTGATTTAAAGAATTGGTAATAATAACTCAGTTTTAACTTGAAAGGGAAAGAGCATTTGTTAGCTAAGCTACTGGCACGTGATAACTTTCGTGTGGAGTTCAGTTTCAAGAAATCGAAAGAATGTAACTGAGATGATAATGGAGACCAAGGAATGGAGCTCTATTTATGTTGTTGAGGTGCAGAAACCTAATGTGCAGTTATGATCTTTATATCTGGTGACATAAAGAGAAGAATATTTTCCAACTACTAGTATTCTGTGATGAAGAATTTAGAACTCTTATCGACTGGTAACATAATTGCAGTTCATGCTGCTGTTGTTATTCCGAGCCCTGTGTTATTTCAATATTTTCCTGTTTCTGTTTTATACGTGGATACCTATATGCATTAGAAGTAGGATAGAATATATAAGAACTTTTGTTCAAAAATTTTCATGTATGCATTAGGAGATTGAATACATAAAATGCACTTGTGTTTTCAATATATAGACTTGAAACCAAGTGAAACATAATCTGCTTTCTCAGAACTTTGTAAAGTGAAACAATATTGGATGCTTGAACAACATAAATAGAGCTTTGTACATGTGTTGGGTAAACTGCTTACTGAAGGTGGAGCAGATGAGCTTACAGCGAGTGTTACAACTGAGATCCGAACATAGAATCTTCAAGTTGTCACTCCTATGCCTCGCCCAGCCACCCATCCGTCCTCTGAGGACAAGGATGAAGTATCTAATAGATTTAATTTTTTCGTTGTTCTGTATTTTTTCTTTCTTGATACAGAGACCTAGCTACCTAAGTGAGGGTGATCATTCATTCACCTTACACTTTTACACAGAGGTTGGTTTAGTTAGCTAAGAATAATCAAAGTGTGATATATAATCTCAACGTGCAATTTCCACAGTAATCGGGCTTCTGACAGTATGAGTACCATCTGACCATACCAACTCTCCATATTTGTGTTGATCCACTCCAGCAAGATAAGTAGTATTCACAGCTTTAATATGCAAACTAAACCTCTCCTTCTGACCTTGGCTCTTGAATATCAACACATTTGGTTCCACAACTACTGAGATTCCAGGAGGCTGGCCAACTCGAGCCGTGAAAGTACCCGGCGGACCGACATTTGTCAGTGTACGAGTCACAATTAAGTTGCCAGAAAGAGCTGGAACAGTTATTGAAGGATAATTGAATTCCAAAAGACTTGAATTACTAAGTGGTGGACATATATAAGGAGCCTTGTTGAAGGTGCGAATAACTTGACTATCATAGCCAGATGCACATAAAAAGTTCAAATAATCATCCACTTCTAAGTCATATATTAGTCCAGGATCAGAAGCAAGATTTGGTCTTATAGGCCCAGCTCCACATGCAAATGGTGTTGCTGCTTCCTTGGTGGTATCAAGCAACGGTTTTCCTGTATTATCTATTGGGCTTGCTGAAAATAAACATTAAAACCATTAGATACATTTGTAAAACTAGATCAAAATCAGATAAAGTATTATGACTGTAAAGAATTTTTGTGCTACCTGTGTAATTTTAGCTTGTTGTAGTAAATTGCATGCCTTATTTTTTATGATTAACCAATTCCACTTATTAAGGGGTAGTTAATTACCTTTAGTTATATTTTAAGTAGCTAATTCAACTTATTATGGGGCGGTAGTTATATTTTGGGCAACCTAATAGCGTAGAAATTCTTTTACACTATTACTAATTAAACGTACCATTTTCAAAACGATTTATTTTAATAATTCTTTTACACTTTAGTATAAAAAAGTTAAAACTCTTTTTTTGAAATGGTTTAACTTATATCCATTGATGGTGTAAACGCTTTTACCACTATCTAAGTCATATTAATACTATAAAAACCTAAAAAACAAGACAGATAAATTAAGGGTGAATAGCTTTGAGAACGAAAAAAAGGGTATATACCAGTAGTCATGAGAGCAGATCGAATGGCAGCAGGACTCCAATCAGGGTGAATAGCTTTAAGAAGTCCTACAATCCCAGAGACATGAGGACACGACATTGATGTTCCAGACATTACATTGTAAGCTGTTCTACGATTGTCAAATACTTCATTTGAGGGGTTATTTCCTTCGGTGTAGGCAGCTATAATATTCACTCCAGGTGCAGTGATATCAGGCTATATATACAACAGTAACACAAAATTAATTTTGTACAAAAACAATAACGTAATAAATAATTAAGTAGCTAACCAATAATTGCTCTATAACAAACCTTGAGGATTGCAGGTGTAATCAAATTAGGACCTCTGGATGAAAAAGAAGCCATAGTTGGAGCAGGTTTTATACCTAATGTTGCCTTTGGTGCGGTTATTGAGCCCATAGCATTGCTAGTTAATACAAGGTAGAACCATTAGTGTCGTATATATGCAATTTAATCACTTATATTTATAGAATAAAGTAGTCTGTAGTCTATGGACTTATTGAACTTGTATATGAGCAATTTAATCACTTATATTTATAGAGTTTTGAGTTTTATGCATTGACAATACATAGAATAAAGTAGTCTGTAGTCTATGGACTTATTGAACTTGTATATGAGCAATTTAATCACTTATATTTATAGAGTTTTGAGTTTTATGCATTGACAATACATATAAAAGTACTTATATAGTGATATCACTTATAAAATAATTACAAATATATTTCTATGATAAGTATTAATTAGTGATCTGGGCAAAAGGGTAACTAATATGTTATCATAAGTTACATACACCGACTGTACAAAATTTTTAAGCTAACTATTATATCAGGTTAGCACATTTTTAATAGGTTATCAATTCATGCAGATTTACTCGTAATTGCCTTAATAGTAACATGCATGATTAATGTATAAAATTTTTAGTACTTCCGGGATATAGAATTTATAAAGTAGAGTTAAAATTATGTACTTTGACGACCTAAAAAATATTTACATAATTAATAAAGTCACTTACAAGGTAATTAGAAGTAAATCTCTATAATAAGTACTACTACTAATTAGTAACCTGTTATAGATTAAGGTACATTAATCGTGAATTTTTTTATAATAATATAGTGTATATTATAAAGATACGTACCAAACACCGAAAAATGAATAAAATTACTACTTGTTGAAATGAAAACAAATTGAAATGTATATTACCAAACATGGGAAAATTAGAAAATATTTTCCCATAATGTGAATCCATTTACTTATACATTTCAATTTTAAAGCACAAGCGGAGGTTTGTCTGAGTAAAGAGAAAGAGAAGATACTTGGTAGAATTGATGTAGGCAAAAACGGCAAGACCGTCGTTGTAAGTAATATGGGAAGCTGGGAGGAGATGAACGTCTGCAATAATGTCATTTCCACTCGTTTGGTCATTGCAAAGTATCATTCCAACAGCACCTCCCATTACAGCTTGGTGCCCTTTATCTACTCTCGTGTTATTTCCCCTTAAACAAACCAAAATCCTCCCTTTCACCTTACTAGCATCCAATGTTGCTTGCTTACAAAGCTTACTGCATGCATGCATAAACAAAAATCTAAATGAAAACTGTGGCGAAGGAACCTAAAGCGGACAAGTCTGCTTCATTTTATATGACGGTGTTTGCATGTTTTATTTTATATGATAGTGTTTGCCTGAACATAAAGGTTAAGAAAGAAGTACTTTCGCACATGCTCAGATCAAAGTATCCTTAGAACTTATAATCTTATATATGACATGACCTTTCTATGACTATTAGAACATGTTATTAAGATAAAACTAGAAGTTTAAACTTTAAAGAATTACTATTAAATATAGAATTGTATCATTTTTCGTACTAAAAAGAAAGCGTGTCATATAAAATGGAATAAAGAGAGTATTAGATTCGAAGTAGGACAATCTTACGCATCTCCAACCGTTGCATTTGCAGTTTTAGCTTGCTCCCCATTAATAAGTGGATAGAATTTTTCTTCTGGCAATGGATAAGAAATGCTCGTTCCCTACTTGATGAAGAGAACAAAATTTTTGATGTCATGATAAACAAAATAATCAATGAATCAAGTAAATAATAAAGAAATACCCCATTCCTTTAATATTATATATATGACGTATTTGATGAATTTTTTTTTAAAAAATATATCGATTTTTTGCACATATCAGAAGTATCATTAGAACTTGTGATCTTAAGCATGTGATGACATTTCTATAGGTATAAGAGCGTGTCATTATGAATAAGAATTTAATAGCTAAGGAATTTTAAAATTTTAAATAGTCTCATTCTTTGTAAAAGATATTAAAAAAGAAAGAGTGTCATATCACGAAATAGAATAGTCGTCACACATCTTTCTACTTCACGAACTAAGGCTTGACACCTTATATGACTTCAAATTGATGAATTCTTAAGCCAGATGAGCCAATTGCGAGAAAATTTTCAAGTTGAATTTAATTAGAGGGCCAAATAAAATGCTAATTATAGATATAAATACTGCAAAATATAAAGAAAATTTAGTCAAAACTATAACCTTGATGGTAAGTCCATTTTGAAGTTTGACATTGGATTCAAATTCACGATCAATGGTACTTGCTCCCACGGTTATCATCCAAGGTGCAATATTGCCCACAGTTGAAAGCATAGGTCCTGAGTTTCCTGCAGAAGTCACCACTACGATACCTTCTTTCATGGCGTGAAACGCCCCGATTGCCGCCGCGTCTCTAAAATATGGCCGTGGTTTTCCACCAACAGAGGCAGAGATCACATCAACACCATCATCTATGGCGAAATCGAATGCTTTGAGGATATCAGCGTCAAAACACCCTCCTCCTTGTTTTGCTGGCCAACACACCTTGTATTCAAAGAGAAATGAAAGTTGTTTAAGCTTTTAAATGCAACGGGAAGCTAAAAGCTATAATCAAATGGAGTTTACTAGTACAAAAGTTTACACTATCATTTCACTTAAAACATAACTACTTGTAGTACCGTTCATAAAAAGTGAGACTAATGAATTCGAAAAGTAAGGCCGTGTTATTACCTACTTCTAACTGGTTATATAAAATACACCAATAATGTAAAAGTCTTAAACTTTCGGTATATATAAGTTAAACCCTATTTTCATGAGCTTAACTTCTTTAAAAAAAAATTAAAGAAAAAAGAGAGCTTAGTTTCTTACGTAATTTTTTAAATACTATCGGATCACCTAGAAAATAACTATAGGTAACGGTCATAAAAAGTAGGATTGGTTAGTTGAAAAATAAGATGTACATGTTACCGTTGGTTAAAGCACACTAATAGTGTAAAAGAGTTCTTTATGTTGTCAATTTAATAAATTAAATCTTATGTTCATGTTATAGTGGTTTGAACTTTTGAGTGAAATGGAATGCTATAATGTAATAGGTTAGGTACCTTATAAGCAGCAACTCTAGCTTTAGGGGCACCACCTTTTGCAGTGCCATTGTACACTCCTATGACACTTGCTTTGGGAGCAAAATTACCAGCCGCAGTGGACAGTGTGTGTGTTCCATGCCCTTCGGTATCACGGGGAGAGTTGGGAATATTACTTGTATTATTATTTCCCCTTAAATCATCATATCCTTTGTGGAAATACCTGGCGCCTATAAGCTTCCTACAAATTATGCATCAAATCACAACGTTTGTTAGAATAATGTGTTCATGCAAAAATTGATCCTTTTTTTTAATCCGTCCTACTCGTTCAAGTTTAAATAGATAAAGTTATGATCTGTTTGTTGATTTGAATATAACCAACTATTGAATCCGAAATGACCCACCAAACTATTAAATAAAAACGGGTCAAAATTAACCTAATGGGTCAATGCAACCAAAACAACCCAAACATGCAAATCAAACTTGTAGATTGAAAATTATGTAATTTTGGAAGAATTTAAGGTAATAAATTAAGAAAATACATTATCTTTCACATTCTTTTTCAAAAAGGAAGGGGAAGTTGGGTCAATGTGGGTAGGAACCATTATTTGTATGTTAAACCAACTCATTTGACCAACTCGTGTCAAATTTGGATGGGTTGAATCATGACCTGTTTATTAATTTGATCAGTCTTGGACTTTTTAAGTTTGACTCAACCCACCTATTTATTACCTTTAAATCAGTAGAATAGAACTAGCATTATATTTCCCATGTAATAGAGACATATATACCTATTGCAAGAAAATGGAACCTTATCGTCATTTTGACATTCACCCTTCCATCTTGATGGAATGGGCCCATAACCTTCGTCATTGAAACTTGGATTTTCTGGCCAAACACCTAAAGGATCGGAGGAATTATTATTAATCTCATTCAGACACAAAATAATGATGAACAGAAAAGGAAATATATACATACCTGTATCGAGATTTCCAATGATAATGTCTTGCCCAAACTTGGCTTTTTCCCACAAAGAACCTGAGGTAACTACACCATTGTCTTCCAAAGACAAAAAATCCCAAGAATGGAATGTGTGTAATTCTCTCCTTTCATTTGGGAAAACAGAAATCACCTTAGGATGCACTGCACACATAATTAATAGTGTTTATCAACTAATGATTAATCAGAAAGTATAAACATGAGATGGATTCAGCTTTTGTACACCGAATTCAATCAAAACCAATAATTTCGAAACGGAAAAACCACTAAAATTTCGACTAATTAAACTCATAATAATGAACCCATCAACTAAGTTTAAAACTTAAACTCTCCTCTAGAACGTAAGTGTGGAATAAATAAGGCTTACATTGAATTAGAGCTACAAATTTCTCTTCCAAATCAGCTGCAAAACCGTTAATACGCCTTCTATATGAATAAAATATGGATTCCTTTGCTTTATCTTTGCTGCATGCATAAATAAATAATTAGAAATAAATGTTAAGATATGATCAAAATTTTCACAGAAAGTTTTTCATACCCTCCCAAGAATGCTGCGAGGAAGTTAATGTGGAAATCTGATACCCTTTGGAGAATAGCCCTAGTAAGAGCTGAGCCATGAGAATGCGATCCCATATATACCACATAAGACTGCAGTCGAAGAATATATATGAAATTAGACAGAAGAACCATATGAAATTCACTAGTCCAACTAATTCAAATTCATGTTGTGTAGGGATAAGTTGCTCCTATCAAGAAATTCTCCATTCTCATTGAATGATGTCCATTACTAAAGTTGAACCCATCAAGTTTAAATTCACTCCACGTATGTCCATTCCTAACGCTTGAATAATTCTGATTAAAAGTGAAAAGATCACCCATCACACGACACTCCTCGGTGGTGGTAGAAGAAGAAGAAATGTTCTTGACACATATAAATGTTGCATTATCCAATTCATGTTTTTACATAGAATGCTAACCAGAGATGGTTTCATTTTTTCTAAACCTAAAAGACCATGATTACAACGAATTTATATAGTAAATAAACAGGACCGAGCAAACTTACCTTTTTGGTCGCAGAAGCTGTTGTTGTCCGTAAGGAGAATAAAATGAGAAAAAGAAACAAGATAGAAATTTTTGGAGAAGACATCGTTTTATAAGGGACAGGGATTAATATATATTTCTTATATATGATTGTGCTTGATATTGCAACTTCTACGAATTCATCATACGAAGAGAGCCATTTTTTTCTAGGTGTTTGATGAAATTAATGATAACTCAAAGAAGAGAGAAAGAAAAGTGTCAAGTTTATTTTAGTTTTGTTTGCTTTCATTTTATACTAAAGATGATAGGATTTGTATAAGTCATAGAAAGTCGAATTAATTGCCTTTTTGATTTATCCAACACGTGGGTGATTTCCCTTTTTTTTTTGTAATCTCCAAGTCATAATAATCATACAACCAGTAGAAAAGGCTATATAATTTCTTCAATTTTCCACAGCTGACCCTTTTTGTGAAAGGCTAGGCATTGGAATGTAAACTTACTGCGCCAATGCTGTTCTTAGACTTGAGAACAATCTCGTGCTGGAAAAAGTTTCAACTTTGACCTTTAAAACATTACTTCCGTTTATTACTGTAAATATACCTTTAATTTAACTTTAAAAGGCTCGTTCCATCTTATGTTGGTAATGTTTCATTCATTAAGAAAAGAAGTGATTAAAATATGAAAAAGAAAACACGTGGATCAATAATATTAACATCAGATGTGATTATTATGTTATGTCGTTTACAAATCAGAAGTTGATATAGTAACACAAGTAAAAATATTTAGCAATTCTCATTTGATCAAGAATTAGAAAACATTTTAAGTAATTTCATTTGGTTGCGTGGTGTTATCAGCTTTTTACACATTATCACATCTTGTTCATCCTTAAATTCTATAAATAAATGATCAAGAAAGAACATTTTCTTTTTGAAGGAAAGAATTTATTTATTTTTACTCCAAATCAGTCGGCTCAAACAAATTAAAAGACATATTTTCGAATTTCGCATTGACACTGTGGATTAATACGTAGGAAGAAACATGAACCACCAAACTACCTTTTTTAGTTTGCGAACGAATTTATTTGCATACAATGTTTCTTCTTTTGTTTAATCGTACGGTAAAATGACTTGAGTTTGATTTTGAAATGTTTCTTTCACGCTAAACACATGCATCCTCCTATGATAGACGATCAAATGCATTTGCTGGATGCTGTGTTGGACATGGTACTATCCGAGGAGGTGGTCATTGGTCAAGTTAGGGTCCACCAGACTAAGGCTCAAACAAGGACACATGGAGCTTCTCAGCCTAGAGTTATGAATAGGGACCATCCCAAGTTGTTGTGCCAGAGCAGGTGAATGAATAGGTATTTCAGGACACTCCACCACCAGTGCCAACTGTTGTACCTACCGTTGCCTTACCTGCAAATGCAGTGGTAAGATTATTAAATGTGTTAAAGGTATTGGTGCCTACTCAAGATAGACTTCTAACTCCTTAAATTACTTCACAGACACAAACACTAGTTCAGTTGAATGTTGCAGCTCCTCAGACACCTCAGATGGCCAAGTTTATTGTGCGTCGCAAAAAGATACTGATTAGTATATTAGGACTGAAAGAGACTCGTGGCGTGGAGAGCTGAGTCATGGAGGACTTTGATTCAGAGATCTAGACGAGCAGGGATACCACCTATCACTTAGTCAGAGTTTTCAGCTATGTTTATGGACAAGTTCATTGCACTGAGCAAACGAGATGATATGTTACGTCAGTTTGAGCAATTGCGTTAAGGCACTATGACAATTATAGAGTATGAGGCTAAGATTATTGAATTAGCTAGGTATGCTCACTTTCTGGTTATAAATGAAAGGGAGAAAGTGAGACGATGTGTGGATAGACTTGAGCATAATTATCATCGTTCGGTGGTACAAAGTGTCCGAGACGTTACCTTTCTAAGGTAGTTAAAAATTCTCTTCGTTGTAAGTCATATCAGGAGGGGGATAGGATTGAGCGAGAAAACAAAAGAGTCCGTAGTATCGGTGGGTTGAGTGGAGCTACATCTGGGGGCAAGAGTGATTTCAATTATAGGCAGTCCACGCCTACTCAGTCAGACAACGATGCACTCTTTAGGAGTGCTTATCCAGCTAGAGAGGGACAACAACAACATGGTTCTCAAATAGGGATAGACTTGGTTTCACAGTCTACAAACATACCATCTCATAGACAAACTACAAAGGGACCATCATCATCAACATCCGGACATCGTAGTTTTAGGAATATATATGCCACTATTCCAGCATGCCAGACATGTGGTAGATCATATTTAGGGCAGTGTCGTATTCTAACTGGAGAGTACCTTTGGTATGTCCAGCTGAGACATCTCTTGAGGGATTGCCCTCATCCTCCAAGGAATTCTAGCCAGACTTCTGTTTAGTTAGCTGTATCTACTCAGACTACTCATAATACTTTAGGTTATACTGTACGGGAAATAGAGGCAAGGTGCTGGAGATCGTGCTACTGAGAATCAAGAATAGAGAATGTTGGTAGAGGCCAAGCGAGAGTTTTTAACTTACTAAATAGGATGTTTAGGCCTGGAATGTTGTGGTTACATTTATTCTTTATATATGTTCATTTGATATACTTGCATCGACTAATTTGGGATCTACCTACTCTTAGGTGTCCTCGTACTTTGATTTGAGATTTGGTAGACAACCAGAGATATTGAATGATTCTTCTCTAGTTGCTACTCACGTTTGAGGGTCTCTATTAGCTAAATCTATGTATGATGGTTGTCCGATTCGAGATGAGGGTAAGAATACTCTAGCATACCTAATTCTACTTGATATGATTGACTTTGACGCACTTATATGCATGGAATGGTTATCTTCTTGTTGTGATATCATCATTACATGCAGAGATAGTTAAGCATGAGATATATAACAAACCACTTTTGTCCTAAAAGGGGGTCAAGTTTCAGAGATTGGTAAAGTTCTATCTTTTATGAAGGCTCAATGATTAATGAGCAATGGTTGTTTGGGTCTCTTAGCTATGATATGGGACACAAAAGAGGAAACACTTAATTTGGAAGAGGTACCAATAGTAAGAGAATATTTTGATATATTTTCTGAGGATTTACCAAAATTAGCCCCAGCAAAAGAAATAGGCTTTGGTGTTGATTTGATACTTGACACACAGTCAATATTTATACCCACATATCGTATGGAACCTGCGGAATTGAGAGAACTAAAGTAACAGTTGTAGGACTTACTAGATAAGGGTTTTGTTTAACCGAGTGTACCTTTATGAGATGCACTAGTATTTTTCGTAAAGTAGAAAGACGGGTCTCTAAGAAAGTGCATGAATTACACGTAGTTGAACAAGGTAACGATACACAATAAGTATCTTTTTGTTATGACCCACAGTATTACGTCGATGTTATGCCTCGCAGTATTATATTACAATGATGTTACGCCTCGCAGTATTATATTACGATGATGTTACGCCCTACAGTATTACATCGATGTTACATTCCGCAGCATTATATTACGACGATGTTATGCCCGTTAGTATTTGACGTTGGATTTATCGTAAGATAATTGACATCAGTTCAAAGACAAGATTATTTGGAGATTATAAGTATTACGCTATTTCAAACAAGTGATAAGTAAATTCGTAAAAGTGAGAGGGTAAGCGAACCAAAGAAAATAAGTTTCGTTGAAGTTTGACATGTCGGGATAAAATACGACCCGAACTAAAATACTTGGTATTTATGGACTAGTTCCATACAAGGTACCACATGACCATGATAGTAAGGTGTATAAGGTATGTCAAAAGTGAGTATTATTTTAAGTAAGAGGAGATAATTCTTAATTATATGGGTAATTGGTTAATTATTGGGTAATGGAATATTACCTAATTAATTAATAATTAATGGTAAATAATTAAGATCTTTTGGATAAAGACCAAATGAATCTCACGTGGCAACACATTAAGCCTAAATAGGTGACTTACTTATTTTAGTAAGGTGTCACATTAATGCATCTTGCAAGTAGGACCACCCCTATAATAATAAACTTTCAAATTCACAAAGAAAGGGATGGAAAAAGGGATTGCTCAATCAAAGAGAAGGGATTGTGATATATCATATAAGAGGGAAATTCATGGGCTGCTAGTAACGTATAGGATTCTCAAAGGAATTCTTAAGAATCCCTACAAGGTGCAACGTGAATTGCAAATTCTAAGGGAGCACGGTACAATCTTTCTCAAGAATATCAGACAGGTTTTTCCTACTTCGATCTGCCGTTATGTGTTCTTCACAAAATACGTGTGTTAGAGGAATTATAAAGAGAATTGGTCCAGGTATGTTAAGGCTATCCATTCTTTCTTTTGGCATGACCTATACGACACAAACGAACGAGCAAATGCACAATTTCCATAAATGACTCTATTAATAGAAATACTAGAGATGCTTATGTTCTTGATTCCCCATGTATCATATTATTCTATCATTTATTTATGGGTCTTAGAAAAGACATAAGTTGATAAATTTTATTTCATGATATTAATCCGAGGCATAATGATCTTATGACATTCCGAAAGATTTTATTGACGTACTTTTCATGCATTGNCATTATATACGTACCACCACCTGATCAGCTGGTATACGTTGATGATTTTGCCCAGAGTGGCCGAAATGATATGATGGAATGCCCTCAGAGGCTTGATGATGTTATGAACACATGTACCTATACACGACGTGATATTTATATGCATATGAATGTCATTATATATATTAATGATTCACAGAGTTATTCAGACTTACATGTCGAGTCCTTTACTCCATGTTTCTCTCATGTCTATTATGTACTGATTTTTATTCCTTACATACTCGGTACATTATTTGTACTAACGTTCCTTTTTCCTGTGGACGCTGAGTTTTATGCCCGCAGGTCCCGATAGACAGGTCGAGAGTTTTCAAAGTAGCCTACCAGCTCTGCGGAAGATGTTGGTGCACTCCATTTGCTCCGAAGTTGCTTGTTTGGTCAGTATGATTTAGACGTGTATTGTTTGGTATGGCAGGGCTCTGTCCTGACCTTTATGATAATTATATATTTTTAGAGGCTTATAGATAGATGTCATGTTCGTAAAAGATTGTATGGCCTTGTCGGCCTATGTTCAGTGAACAAGTGGTTATTTTGGTCTTATAGGCCCCTATGTCTTATGTATAAGTTGGTATTACATGTTGTATTCTACTTATCTCACGACAGC